CATTTTTATGTAATTTATTATTACCATTATTATTCTATTAATAAAGATAAATTTAGATAGAAATTTACTGCGGGGGGAATTTTTTATTTTCGGTTACTACTCAATTTACTGAGGAATATTTCATGCAATTGGTTCCCTTTATGAATTTGAATAGAGCAAGAACAAACATTGATGCAGAATAGTATAAATTCATATTATTTCGAGGTTTCTCGTCAGCTGCTTACAAACCAAAATTGTGATAGAATTTTTACATGGAGATAGTGTGAAAACATTTGACATAAATGAGTGTAAATAACTGGCCCTCTAGGCCCAATTCTTGCCGACATATTTATGGGACATCTGGAACAAAAGAAACTGAAGCACGCAATTGACAGTACCACTCTCTACTGCAGATATATGGATGACACGTTCCTTGTCTGCAAAAATCACCAACACTCCAGGTACCTACTTAGTCTGTTCAATAAAGTACATAAAGATATAGAATTCACCATGGAACATGAAGCTGATGATAAATTCCATTTCCTAGATATTGGAATTAGGCGAACATCAGACGGCATACTACAAAGACACATTCACCGCAAAAATACTTGGAGCGGAATTTATCTCAATTTTAACAGCTTCTGTCCAATAAGTTATAAAAAGGGTATTGTGCGAAACCTTTTTGACCGCGCACGAAAAATCTGCTCAAAAGAATGCCTCGAAGAAGAAATTACTACAATCACCAAATGCCTACGTGAAAATGCATATCCGGATAAATTCATCCACAAATATGCTAATACAAACCATCCGATTAAGCATGATACAGTTGAAAAGAAAACCTGCTTCCTATCCTTGCGCTTCAAAGGAGATGAAGTCGCCGGAATTATCAATCACAGAATTAATTCCGCTTTAAAAGTGACCTACCCGGCAGCCAAACTGACTACGTTATGGAAAACATACTGCTCACTGAAACAAACGAAGATCGACAAGTCCTCTCCCCTCAGTTGCTCCAACTGCATTTACCAATTCACATGTACGTGCCGTAGCACATACATTGGAAGAACTGAGAGAAGAGTACAGGTTCGCATTTCTGAGCATATTCAGAAGAACTTGACGCTGCGAGGGACCAAAGCTTTTAACAGTGGAATAGCTCGGCATCTACTTGACACCGGGCATACCGTCAATATTCTGCACGCGTTTAAAATTATCAATAGACAAAAAAGTACTACCACTCTCCGCTTTGCTGAAGCGATTGCGATTAAGAAACTGAAACCGGATTTATGCATTCAAAAAGAGACTTGAATAAACTTATCACTACCCTGGTAATCTTTTTGTTTCTGTTTGTTTTGGGTTTTGGTTATTTTTTTGTTTACTTATTCTAAGATATTTTATACTCCCCCCTATTACCTAATTTTTAAAATAAATTTTATTCACACATTTCCACCACCTGATCCTCTTAAATTATCTTAACTTTCCAAATTCTATTTAATTTTTATTACGTAATCTACCTTATCATTATTTAATTTCATTAATCTCTACAATTATCACAATTTATGAACTTCACTAAATTATTACACCACCCACCCTGGATTAACCCCCCTCTCTTGACCTCTGACCTGTTTCTAGCATATATATATAGTTATTATTGTAATCCAGTTATTTACACTCATTTATGTCAAATGTTTTCACACTATCTCCATGTAAAAATTCTATCACAATTTTGGTTTGCAAGCAGCTGACGAGAAACCTCGAAATAATATGAATTCATACTATTCTGCATCAATGTTTGTTCTTGCTCTATTCAAATTACTGAGGAATATTTTGTTTTTTTAAAGTCTTCAAGAATTCGATAATATTCCAAATTATTCTTCACATTTTTGATATGAGATTATCATTGAAGATAAGGGATTCTTGGGAATATGATATTTATTAGTTTTAAGTTTCTCAATAGTTCAAACAAACATGTATATGTTATAAGATATGTCAATACTGATTTCTGCAAGGATTAGTTAATAAACTGTGTTAATGAGTCACATTCAATGTAGACAAATAACAAGAAACGATGACTATTGATACAGTAACATTTTTATCAACGACAAAATTTTCTACAATTGTACCACAACAGACTTTTGGTCTACATTTATTTTCACAATAGGTGACACACATCACATCGACAGCAAATAACTAATATACAGAACATTAGTACATCAACTGCTATTATCTCTACACAGTCACATTCCTCTGATCTATTTTATTCTGCCCCATCTATCAAATATTCGTACACTTCCCTGTCACTCTGTACATAACATTATGCTAACGGTATTTCCCGATCGACCTACAGTTTTAATTCAAGTGAATGATATATATAGTTACACCGTATTTTATGAGTACAAGATGCTGTTTGTAATTTTGTCTTCCTTTTCGAACAGAGACATTACATATAATATTTATGTCCTAAGGTAAGTCAAAAGTATTAAACCATATGGTTAGCCTTACCTTGTGTACACCTCGACATTAAACTTAACTCAGATCAAGCCACTAGATCTCCTGAACAAGTAGAAAGCTGTGGAAAAGCACTATTTCACCCACAGATTACTTAATTACGCTTGTTAACCATTGTCGAGGAGCATAGGCCACTCACCAGCTCTCTCTAGCCTATCCTGTCCTAGGTAATCCTTTCCAGTTGCTATTTATCCTTTTCATGTCTGCTTCCAATTCCCGACCCAATGTGTTCTTTGGCCTTCTTCTTTTCCGTTTCCATCCAGGATTCCAAGTTAACGCTTGCCTCGTGATTCCGTTAGATTTCTTCCTCAATATATGTCCTATCAACCATCAGCGTCTTTTTCTCTTCAACTGGAAACTGGTTTGTTCTCTCCCATAGTAAGCTGCTGTTGATGGTATCCGATCAACAGATATTGGGTATCTTGCGTAGATAATTGTCTATAAATATCTGTACTGTTTTGATGATGATTGTAGTAGTTTTCCAAGTTTCAGCTCCGTGTATTAGAACTTTCATAATGTTCGTATAGAAGATTCTGGCTTTGATGTTAGCCGACAGTTTGTTTTGAGTTCCATATGTTCTTCAACTGTAGGAATGCTGTCTTTGCTTTGTCGATCCGTGCCTTCATATCTCCATCAGATCCTCCTTGTTCATCGAAGGTGCAGACCAGGTATGTAGAAGTTTCAACTTGTTCCAGAGTTGCTCCATCAAGTGTGATTGTGTTGGTATCGTCTATTTTGTACATGAGGATCTCGTTTATTCCGTTGTGTATGTTGAGGAGTACTTCAGCAGAGGCTGGTGCCATACTGACTACCTTCATCTGCATTTGTTGGTGTGTATGGGATAGGAAAGCTAGATCATCTGCGATGTCCGAATCGTCTAGCTGCATCCATTGTATTCCATGCTTCTCTGATGTGTGAAGACCTTCATAATCCGACTGACTGTCAGAAAGAAGTAAAGGGGCGAGAATAATCAGGCTTGTCTTCACATGGAATAAATCTGTCAGCTTTTCTCCATACACGACTTTGCATTGCAGTCCATCGTATGAATCCACTGAGGAACAATTAGGACGGGGATTTACTGTCATATTGTTACAACTCATATTCTGATGCAATATCTAGCGGTAAAGTTGCATTAATAGTTTCATCAAAGTGTGACAAGGTTAAGCTTCTTAAAAATGTTATTTCCCTTTGTCAACAAAAAAACGATACACGGAAACTTTAGAACCGTACTTATGTAGTTAGGTTGACTATTACTCACAAAAAATTTTAAAAAGGTGGCTTGTGAACAAATTCTAAAATAGGTCATTTTAATATAACAATGATGCCATCGTCCTAACAACATACGCAAATGATAATAAGTCAAGCATTGAACAAAGCTTACTTAAACCACAAATTCACAAGTCAATTATTATAAAATATGATTCGTTAGGTTTTCGAATACAGTATAATCATCTCAGACCGTAATGGAACTACTGATCTCTCAGGCATGCTCACCACTCTTACCTAAGTGTCAGTTTACTTACCTGTAAATACCAGGATTATTCATTCAGTATTTGGTTTTGGACAATCACGTATTTCTCTTCCATTGAGTTAGGCCGTTCAAGCGTAGGGGGCATGCATTTAGGCTGAAATGGATCACATTCCGTAACAGAATAACTGGACGAATAGTGATCGGGTGAAGAGTTATTATACACACAAACCAAACACTATAGGAGACGTAAATAAGTAGACTATAAGAATGAATATTATAGAGAAGTTACTTCTCAATTTTAACACATCTGAGCTAAAAAGTCCCATGAAACACACTAAAATGGGCTTTTGAAATAAGGAGAACGAGACTGAGCTGTGTATAATGATACCCAAAATGTTAGAAAACCAGTGTCGTAATGTGAATAAAGCATGTACTCATTGACAATTTTTATCAACTCTTGAAACAGAATACTGGGAGGGAGCTCTGTCATATGAACGCCTCCCTATCACAAATATATGTATAATCTTATCATTTTAAAATTATATTATTTTGATTATATTTTCACTTATGGGTAACATTGAGCGCAATCGGTCACAGTGGTATAGACTGGCACTCACTCTTTGTTTTCTCTTAAATGTTGAGTTTGAAGATTATCTTATGTTTTTTACTCCATGAATTTATCCTTTCTTCCCTAATCATATTGTTTATGTGTAATTCTTACTACTAATAATAACACTGTTAATACTCCTAGTATTGTGGCATTTATGTCGCTGAGGGGATATGATATGGCAACTTTGACCGATGTAAATATTGTCAGGTTCTACGTTGTTTATGACTAACTGGTAATAAAACTCAAAAATCATGAATCATGCATTATATACAAACTAGCAATATCATTTAAATCAAAGTGGAGAATGATTTACGAATCTTTAACCCAAAATAAACAGAAAATCAAATGTCTACACTAATTAAGTCAGAAATTTGAAATGTCAATTTTGAAAAATTCATACGATAGATTTCTTAACCATGTAAAATACAAAACTTGAAATACAATTAGTATTTACAGTTTTATTCATAAAACTTATTTATTTACAAAAACAATTCCAAAAATCAATTTTAAAACAGTATCAATCATTAAATTTACAGTTATTGCTATAATCTACAAACGATCTGATCTATTTCGAGAACTAGTTCATAAAACAATCAACAACAACAACACACAAAAAAGAGATATCCATTAAAATTGCTGTAGTAAGATGCGAAAGGAATTGACAATATCTATTCTACAAAAAAAAGTAGAATAAAAAAAGACAAATAAAAATCTATTCTCAAATGAACAAATAGTTATAATGTATATGACACATAACTGACTTAAATAGATATTCAATTTATTATCTGCTTTCAACATTTCATTTATGCAATACTCTTTGAGGGGGAATAGAAAGAGAATACTAAATATAACTTATTTGTGAATAGTTAATTTGAATATATCCATGTATTTATTAATAGAAATCCATTTTAACGAGTTTATTTCCAAACTTTTGTTACAAAAAAAATGTATTTCTTTATGTAATGTACATATCCCAATTAAAATTGTTTAAAGTTTATTCTTAGAAATTGAGGACAGGTTAATAACAAAACTTTGCGAATAAAATTACTACCTGAACTTCATTACATACTGAAAAATAAATACAGTGGCATAAATATATGCCACTATTTACCCGATAATTACTGGCATACATTTCAACGCAGTTCATGCGATGTTCAGTCACACAAACTAGTGGCCATATTATGACTCGTTCAGTAAAACTTACTCAGTACTAAGAGACTAGACAAGTACGATATTGGTCACTAATCTGTGATCAATCAATTTTAAACATTAAACAATTCGTTTGCAAGAAATGTGTTTGGTATTTCGAATTCAATAACAAGTTGTATAACTTACGATGGTGGTCTTTTTTCTTCAATATGATTATCGTCAACTTTTGATTGTTGGTTTTGTGAGGATTTCAATTTTGACTTTTGAATACGCATTCCATTTGACTTTACGAAAGCTGACTGATTGTTAGAAAAGTGCACTATCGATTGTTGATTTCCATGAGATTCTCCTTTTATGTCTTTTTCCATAGAAAGTAAAGTTGATTTTAAATTTTGATTGCGATTAAAACGAGAATGCAATTTGGATTTGAGACGCTTTTTACGAGGAACTTTTTTGACAATTCGATGCATATTCGTATTATTAGGTGATAAACGAGTGCAAGGTTTACTCAAACTGTTGTTATCACTACATTCAGTATATGGATTTAAGGCGTGTTTGAAAGACGATTGAGAAAGGTTCAAATGATCCTATATAAAAGGATAATAAACAACAAAGAAGTTGGAAGTGGATGTTTACAATCAGCATATATTATTTGTCGTCAATAATAATAAGACACACAAAAAATACATATTTGACCTATAGTTCTTCTACCATCAAATGCTAAAATAGTCGGACGATTAAGGCGATATTTTGAATTCGTTTTGGCTATACTGCAAATAAAACATGCATGATCGGTCGGTGAAACGTTGAACATTTTAATTACGAACTGCATTTACTGTACGAATAGTAACACGCTGTACAATACAGGATTCCCACTCGAAGCAGGGGAGTCAGATTCTTAAGGTAATTGGGTTCAGGTGAATTAGATTGTGGTTAGAGGTATGAGCGAGGTTCATATTTACCAATTAATAACACTTTGAAGGCCCTGAGAAGGAAATTAGGCTAGTGGCGATCTCAACCTAAGAATGTTACTGAAGAGTTTAAATCAAAATCCTATGTTGAAATATTAAAGTTATAATGGCCCTTCAGTCTCTTTATATTTGTGGCATGAAACCAAAATTACTCACTTCGGAATTAGGATCGTCAGTTAGCATATCAGTTATGGATTGTGCTTTAAGTTCTTGTTTTATTATGTTCTTCATTTTCTTACTTACAACCAATACTGACCCATCCTCGTTACGAATATGCTTCTTGGAAAAGCGATCAGAAGGATGTCGAGAAGAGATACTTTTCCTTACAGGAGCCATCCGACCTAAAGCAAAAGAGTAGACGGATAACATACATAAAGGAACATATGTAGTGAGACATTTCTGATTTCGTGGCTTTGTCGATCACATATACTCAAACTAGGCACTGACCTGAATAAGCTCTTGCATAACATTGCACATGCAAAATGCTCTACAGAAAACACATTTATAAATATGTTTCTACATTGAAACATACTCCTAACCTACTTACGCCGACACTCAATTCATCTAGAAGACCGAAAATTGCCAGTGCATTCACGGTGAGACTATGATTTATAAATTTTGGCGTATTTTGGGAAAACTACCGAAGCCAAATGACCTTCATCAATGTTTGGAGAACTTCGGGGAAATCCCCAAAGTCAAATGAACTTGACCAAGGTTAAAGGGGAATTCCCTCAGGTCTGGGGAAATTTCGGGGTTTTTGTGCCATTTCCCCAAAGTTCACTGTAGCGGCTTCTCCAAAATGAGTCAAAATTTCCCCAAAATTCGGAGCTTGGGTTATGGAAGACCTTTGAGTGACGCTATGGCGTCCACCTACATACTACGGCCAGATGATTGTTATAAACCAGCGTGAGGAATTAGGATTAATATTTACGGTTGATGGTTAGTATTAGAAATCAGATTTATATGGTTTTCATCACGAACTGACATCAGCTAAAATGCCAAAACTGTATTTGACCAAATGGATGAGTGAATTTGGAGCCAAAATTCAAGACTTGTTGTCGTAAATCTTGTTGGTTCGTCCACAAATTATAGTCTTATCGAACGCAGCCTGACGGGCACCAACTAGACAGCTGTAACACGTGTAATCAGCAGCCACCGGAAGGCGGGAAGACCTAAAGCCACAACACACACAATGTTAACTGAACACTTCACACCACAGAGAGAACGCGGAACGAAGACCAACAGTCGTTTATTTCAAAATTAAATTTCGCGGGTTCTGTACAGAAAGAGAGCTAGTTTACAAAACGGTCTTATGAGTCGTCCTGTAAGTTTAGTGCGTGCAGGGCTTGCTCTTCTTCTTCTAAGGCGTTTATTCTTGCTTGCTCTGCAATAGAAAGAAAACAAAATCTATTAGCAACATCATACATGATGATTTTAATCCCGTTACATCGTCCCCTCTCCTAATGAGGCACTGTCCTCAGTGCCTGGTCTTGGGCACGGGTATGCTGTCCCTCCTTCAGATGGTATTTCGTAAAATCTAGTGGCCGGCGGTGGATCAGCGAGTTGAGCGTCGAAGGGAAATGTCGTCCGATCGGGTTTTATCTGGTTGTAGTGCACCGTTATCACGTCGTCTTTAGGTCGTTGTATATTACGCAATACAAACGTGGTGGGGGATCGGATGAGGACAATTTCAAAGGGGCCTTGCCAGGGCTGATGGAATTTACTGCAACCCCCTAGTGATGTCATTGGGCGGCGTAACCATACGCGATCTCCAACTGTATACCTAGGTCCTTGTGCTTGACGATCATATATATCTTTTTGGTGTCCACTAGCCTTGCATAAGTTAATGTTGACCAGACGGTATGCATCAGCTAGTCGATTGCGAAGAGTACGTATGTACGGAACATGCTCTTGTTCTTCGTAGGGCAGTAGGGGTGACTGTATCTCTACTGGTAAGCGTAATTCGTGCCCAAACAGCAAAATAGCAGGCGAGAACCCCGTGGACCCATGTACTGACGTACGGTATGCTAAAAGGCATTGGGGAAGCACCTCATCCCATAACTCAGGTGACGATCTGCTGACAAACGACTGCAAGATGGCTTTAATGGTTCTGTTTGTTCTTTTTACTTCAGATGTATCAGCTGGCGGATTTCGAAGAAAATGTTCTTTGAGTGGTCCAGGTAACAGACCCTCGACAAAACGTGAGCGTATTAGTTCCTCTCGTCCTATCATATCTAACCGAGGGAATGCCTGCACTGCGACTTGCTGCAGGGAATGGAGATAGTCTATTGGGCTCTCGCTCGCTTTCTGATGGCGTGATAAGAACTGAATTGTCATCTGCTGAGTGTTTACAGGCATGGAAAAACAGTCATCTAGAATTCTCCAGTTTTGTGAGAGGGTGTTACTGGCCGCAAAACCATTCGCAATAGCCCTGCGTACTGCTTCATCGCTCAGATAGGAAACGAGGTAGTTGAAATGCTCGGTCAATGGGACTCTCTGAAGGTAGGCTGTGACTTTAAATTTCCAAACGGAGTAATCTGATGATGTTTCGAGCAGTGGCGGCTGGCGTGGGGTTGAACCGGGAGCAGCCCTGATTGGGATCAGAGGGGGTTCGTCTAGGTTCTCATCGCGTTTTTCCGTCTGCACCTCCATCACCAGTTGTAACACGTGTAATCAGCAGCCACCGGAAGGCGGGAAGACCTAAAGCCACAACACACACAATGTTAACTGAACACTTCACACCACAGAGAGAACGCGGAACGAAGACCAACAGTCGTTTATTTCAAAATTAAATTTCGCGGGTTCTGTACAGAAAGAGAGCTAGTTTACAAAACGGTCTTATGAGTCGTCCTGTAAGTTTAGTGCGTGCAGGGCTTGCTCTTCTTCTTCTAAGGCGTTTATTCTTGCTTGCTCTGCAATAGAAAGAAAACAAAATCTATTAGCAACATCATACATGATGATTTTAATCCCGTTACACAGCCACATGTTGGAATTACCTCTTGACAGTACGACCTTGAGCGCTAGGTATCGGCGGGCAATGTGTACTTGAATCCAATATCCTTGTAACAAGCTCATGTACCCAGGTTGATTTCATTGAGCTTGTCTTCTTTCGTTTCTGTATGGTGTCTTATGAGTAGTATTCTAGCTACTCGAACTCACTACTTGCAGGTTTGTGCATCATGTAATCAGAGTTAATGTGTTAGTCTAAGAACAAATAAGTTTCTGGAACCGTCAGCTACCACATTACCTACAAGCTGCTGGTTGGCTACGTCATGAAAAATAATGGGGAGAAAATTTGAATGCTTAAATAAAACGAATTTTTCAAGAAGTTAATTAATTCACTAATAAGTTAATTAACTGGCAATGCAGACAGCGTCAGTAGACTGAAGTGTAAGAATATAAAGACCAGCGACGATGATAATCAGCCGGTTAGGAATTAGCTGATGATGCGTGATGATAATAATAATATTGGGTAGGTCAAGAGATATGTATCAGACACAACTGTTGTAATCAAGAGAGTGTAACCCATGAGTGAGTGCGTAAATGTTAAGTCTCATGTTCAAGCCATCCATTAAGCAAGTCAAAAAGTAAAGGGGTACATGAGCTTTCGCTTTTTGATGTGAAATTTCTGAGGTTTAACTCGTGGAGGGTAATGTTGAGGTTCTGGTATGATGCTTGTGTTGTGGTGAACTGACGTACATAATATGTTTTACGCCATTAACAAATCTCTTATTATCATATAGTTCGGCGAGAATAATCCTGTGTTAAAGTGTGAACTCCTACCACCCACTTTGCTGCCTTTCTCTATATTCGACCTAAGAGACCTATGTCTCTTTCAAAGATGGGAGCGCGTAACGTTGTGAACATCGAGGTAAGACCGTGAGCCCGTCTTAGACGGTGTCAGAAACAGCTTAGGTGTGGTTGCAATATTTTGTCTTGTTACAAAATAAAGAGTTATATTTGTTTCAATTCTATATCCAGTGTGTTTTAGGCCAGTATTTAAGCTTTCTTATTGGAAGCCCGAAATCATTTGCCTTGGAGACAATTAGGAGCGGAATCCCACGAAGGACATAAGTTATCTGTTTACAGTGAAGCGTAATGTTAATGACATGAAATTTTGACGGGTTATGTTTTCAACCATTCCATCACTGCTGTAAGGTCCTTTACGGTCATAAATGGATCTCAACATCACAGCATGCATGAGAGTCAGTGTGGTAAGTTTTTCTATGACCATGTCAGTGGAATCCATCTTAAAACCCTTGTTATAACTGAGTACGACTCTGTCAACAGCTTTAGCGAAGTCAAGAAATTCTACATAGACCGGTTTCTTTTGGTCTTAAAAAGTCGTCCAGCTGTCTAGTGCTATGAGAAGACTGGAAGGAAAAAGCCCCTTGGTTTACGGACTCCTGTTTAATCATGAATCTGTAGATCTACTTTAGGTTGGCTTGTATTTTAGCTACCAGACAGCATAAAGTGTTTGAACAATCATTTTTCAGTGCTCAACAGGTGTATGATATCTAGCACTTTCCCATACACTTAGTATATGAGGGCTACATATAATAGTGTAATTTTCAAAACTGATCATTTGAGACTATCTATATTTGAATCTCCACCAGTAGTCGTTTAAGGGTTTCTGCTGTATAAAAGAGGACGGGTGGGCACTAGGATAGTGACACAATTTCGCAAAATCCTTGCTAACAGACATAAGCCAGAGTTAACAAAATGACCTATTTAATTTGCTTAGGGGAATTTTAAATGCGTATAGAAGAGCAACGATGACTTATTGCGATACACGCGATAAAAAGGTCGTCCAAATAGCAGCATAAGTGAATTTACACAACCCTACTGCTTGAGATAAGTGAAACACGTTGTATTCTGGTTATGAATGTGCCTCGTCAAAACAAGTGGTTCACTAATGCTTGAAAACTAGGTCAGCATTGTTGCTGATTGTCTATTAAGCTACTAAGTATGGACATTTATTGATCACTGCAATGTACTTAAAGACGTATTCGATTCTGCCTCGCAACAATATTTATTATTAATTCATATTATTACACCTTAAATTCGTCTTACTCCAGGAATAGTACACATCTTTTCCCACTCTTACTTCTCTATAGCTTTTAAGGCCCTTAATTTTTGACAGTTAAAAGTCTGAGTTCAGCAGGCTCGGTGTGGGTTGACAGTCTTTTAATAATTACACAAACCGAAGGCAAAATACATTCATGGTTCAGAAATGTCCGCCAAAGTTAACGGAATGGTTTGTTCCTCAGGAATCGCATAATAATGGCTTCAGTTGCGTTACGATACACATTAGACACCAAGGTACAAACGGATGCCTAATAAATAACGTTTAGTTACCAGTCGTTGAGGTACAAGATGATTGAGGGATTATTAACAGTTGAGTGTGTGCAAACAGTTGGACATTTCTATGCATTGTATGTAAAATATTTTTGAACCTCTTTAGCTACAGAGATTTTAATATATTCACTAAATTCTATGTTGAATTCTTTTGACAAAGACTGTATCGCTATGCATCGGCGATCAACCGCTGCCTAGAAAAGACTTATAGGTCATCGACGTAGATTATCTGTGTCCAATGATTGGGGACGTACTCGGGTTTAAGGGGAATAGTTCCAAAAATTATCTATAGCAGAAGTCACATCTCATGGTTGGTACCTAACGTGGATTAACTTTTCGCGTGTTCAAGTACTTCGGCTGCTTTGATGACCGTACAAAACAAAGTTATTACAAAAATATATTGTTAAATGTAGGTATAAGGAACAAAGTGCAATCACTGTTGAGTGAGCCAGTCCATGGCGCACAATTAACTGATGCGCAGTGGTTGCCCTTGATCTTGATGAGAATCGATGAACTGCTCGACATGCAGTGACCTGACTACCGGATGATTTAGCAAGGGTTCAATGATATTTTATCGGGTCTGTAGACTGGTCTGCCAGAAGAATTCGAACAGTATCTACCCTTATTACTGGGGCCTCGAAGTATTCGAACTCCGAGATATTTATTGCAAGTAGTTAACTACAGTATCTGACTCCAAATGAACTTGTAGTGATATTATTCCTAACCACACAATTCCCAAAAGTGAACATGAGATAAAAGGGAAAATAGATATTCAAAATTTGACACTTAGAGAAGAACAACAATGGTGAACGCAAGAATATTCATGTATTCAATCGGAAGGCATGGCTCAGCCTCGTAGACGCGGTCATTCTGTATAGCCTATCTTTCTTCATATTAAATATATTATCCTATCTTCGGCCCAAATACGTTCATCAGAAGTACTAAGAATCATATTAATTGTTACGATATGATGGGTCAAATTAGAAAATGATGTGAATTCCACGTAAGATCTTGTAGATTAGGTAGTCACATTATGACAATTCTATGCTTTTAGGATTAGGTCTATTGTTATCGTAGTACTAATAACGAACCAGACCATAATTCTAACCAAGTACTGTACAATTATGCGAAACCAAAAGTTGAATTCATTAAAATATAATACAACTATTACAAATTAACTGTCACAAAAATATTCCCACCATCATACAAAAGGCTCAAATATGGATATCCAGTTTTCATGTTGCTCAGCAATAACTTTGAACTTGATATAGCAACAGTTATTTTTTTATTTCAGAGAACGGATCTCATGAGGACACTACGAAGGCGTTGACAAGCCCATAACTAGCCAAACGACAACTGATGACTTACTTTACATCATCAGTAAGTGAAACATCGTGCCGCACTAAATGGTTACAGATATTCCTTCACACTCAATGGAATGAAATCTGTGTCGACTGGAAGAATATCTATCACCAGTATAAATACAAAGTTCTCAGACGTCTATCATGATTAAATCAAAGTTAAGGATTAATGAGCATTGTATATAAAAACGCTAGCTTCTGTTAATGAATCTACTTCGTTCCTTGAAGTACTTGATTGTGTTCAGACAAAACGAAGCAAACTCTGATATTAGGGAATGGAAATTCATCAAACAGTCCTTGAGGCTTGAAAACATACTAACTCAACATGTGACGAGACTAGCCAAGAAAAACGGTGATTCCAGACCGCAGCTAATGAAGAAAACTTTCCCATCCTCCCATATGGCGGCTGCAACTCTGGAGGTATTTCGTGCCAACAGACGTCTGTTGCCAGCTGGTATCCACGTGCACCCGGTCGAGTCATATGAAGCTAGGACCAATCACGAAGGCAAGTTGGAGCTGATCATTTCACTTGTGGACTGTCTCGATGATAAAAAACGTTTAAAGGACAGGGCCTATTAACTCGGCAAACATTATATAAGTGGGCTACCCGTCTATTCACGGAAGGCTCATACAGACAAACATGAAGAAGCTTACGCGTTTCAAATCGAAAGCATAGACTGCTTATGCATGAACACCACGAGTCTATTAGACAAAATGGACGAGCTACATGAACTTAGCAGTACTAATGAAGCTCATCTTATAGGAATATCTGGAACTTGGATATCTTCTCAGTTCTCGGACCAAGAGTTAGCAGTACCTGGGAGGTCTTTGTTTCGCAACGACAGAAAATCAGGAGTTGGGGGTGGAGTAGCCGTATACATACGATCTTGCTTGGAGGTGCACCAAGTTCATAACCTCGAGTTTAATAATCTTGAGGAATCCATATGGTGCTCTGTAAGATTACCTACTACTTCAAGGTGTCTAGTCGGAGTCATATATAGGAGGCCCGCTGCCGACATCGAGTATGACAGTCGTATGCTGGAAGGACTATCCCGCTCTACTCGTTTCGATTCCACTCATATCCTGATTCTAGGGAACTTCAATCTCTCTAGAGTCAACTTCGCGGAACATACATATACTGGAGGTGAAAACACAACTGAAGCTCGGTTGTTCAACCTCATTGAGGACTTGGGATTGTACGAAAATGTGAAGTCGGCAACTCACTGGAGAAACAGTCATACCCCAACGCGCTTAGACT